CAACTTGATGAGACCTCGTCTCTACAGTAAATCAAGAAATTAGCTGGGCGTGGTAGTGCACCTATAGTTCTGGCTATTGGGAAGGCTGAGGTGGAAGGGTTGCTGGAGCCCAGCAGGTCAACGCTGGGGTGGCCGTGAATGTGTCACTGCCCTCCAGCCTGGGCAATGGAGTAAGACTCTGACTCAGAAAAAAACAAAAGAAGGAATGACTAGCCATTTTTGTTAAGCAGTGACAAGGCCATGTGTTCTTTGAGCTATGGCTGCCATGTTTCCTTTCTTTCTTTCTTTTTTTACAAGAATACAAATCCACTTTTTTCTATTTACTTTCCGTTAGTTTAAATCCTTGAGGGGTACAGCATTATATGGATTCTGTGTCCAATGGCCTTAGCAGGATGGTTGCTTCAGAATTTGGCAGGAACCATGCCACTATTTCCATGGGCCCAAGTTACCTTTCCCCAGATTGCTCTGGCTTTGTTTGGTTTGCTGCCAGGAGTCACTGTGTTGTTCTTTGTTTTATATACATAAGCACATCTCTTGCCCAAATAGAATTCAGTTTCATCTCGGGGATAAACACGTTCAATTTTGAGAATAGCTGTGTGCTCCCTTTGGTACCAGAGACCTCGCTTATAGCCAGCAAAAATGGCTTTGGACCACAGCCTTCCAGAAGTATTTGCCTCTTAGAAGTCCTGTTCCCAACAGGCCTCCGTGGGTTCCTAGATGGCGCAAAGAGCAACTGCCTTGTTTTCTTATCTTTGGCCCTCTCCCCTACCTTGGGGAGGTGACTCTCCTCTCTAATATACTTCTCAATAAGCTATATTTTCCAATCTAAAAAAAAAGAAAAGGAATACCTGGGAGTAGGCTGTATATTAACGTTTAAATTCCTTAAGTGATTCCAGTATGATTTTTACTGTAGAGAAAGTTGCAGGTACTAATATTTCCGTGGTTTGTTATCTATATCCATAGTTGAAGGAAATGCTAATCTTACTTGAAGTTAGAGAACGTATTTTTTTTTTAACCCATTTAAGATTCTCTGGTTAAGAGTGCCTGTCCTAGACATTGCCAAGATTATAACTTGAGCTTTTCTTAAAAGAAATAGGAATACATATTTGTGTTGTTTTAGAGTTTTAAATATTACTTAAATATATAGATTTGAAGATTTATGTAACAAGGCTAGTTATTAAGTATTCTTAAAAAATGAAATTTTAATGTAATTTTTAGAAAACAAATTAGTCTATAAACAAATCCAGAAAAAATACTTTGGATTAACTTTCTAAGTTATACTAAATAGCTCACATATAATTTATTTATTATTTTAATTTATTTAATATTTATTTATTATCTATTTAATATTTTTGAGAGTGATCTCCCTCTGATATTTTACTACAAATTTTCTTTTTTTAAAATATCAGTAGATTTAGGGAGTACAGATAGTTTTTAGTTACGTGTTGTACTGCACAGTGGTGAAGAAGCCTGGAACTTAAAAGCGTACCCACCAGTCCACCTTTGCACATTATACTCAATAGGTGATTTTTTTATCCCTCCACCCTTCCCCCTTTCCTGTACCCCTTCTGCATCTCCGATTATTATAAATTTTTAAACATATGAGAGACATTGAAAATGTATATGGTGAATACTATATGTACACCACCTAGATTGGATAGCTAACATTTACTGTACTTGCTTTATCATGTATCTTTCCATTGATTCAACCCTACATCCATAAATCCATGTGATTCCTAGTGCCTTTCAAAGTAATTTGCAGATTTCAGAATAGTTTATTCAAACTTCATTCGCATGCAGACATTTAATTAGAGTTCAGTTTTTTGTAAAATATGGAAACAATAAAATGCAAGGTCCTAAGTGTTCTGTAAGTTCCAGTAAATAGATACACCTGTGCAATCTACACTAAAGATGCAGAACATTATCTTCACAGGGTTTTTGTCTCTTCCCAGTAAATCCCTATTGTTTTGGTGTTCTTCACCAGAGCTGTTACATCTGTACTAGATATCATATAAACAGAAGCATATAGTGTGTACTTTTTTGTACATAAGCTTGTTTCACCTAGCATGTTTTAAAAATTCATCCATGTTGTGACATGTTATCAGTAGCTATTTCCTTTTTTATTCCTAAGTAGTATTCCACTGCATGAATATCTGGGATGATCCTTTCTTCCACTGAAGAACATCTGGATGGTTACCAGCTTTTGGCACTTATAAATGTAGCTGCTGTGAACATTTTGGTAAAAGTATTTTTATGAACATACATTTTCACTTGGAGTAAAATTGCTAGGACATTAAGTAGGAATATATTTAGTTCTTTAAGAAATTGTCAGATCCTTTCAAACACAATGTGCCATTTTACATCTTACCAACAGTATATGTGAGGTCAGTTGCTTTACATCTTCATCAACACTTTTTATTTTAATGTTGTCTTATTAATACTAGTGTTCTCACTTTTTTTCTGAAAATTTTTTCATTTTACTTTGCACATTAGAGGTTGGCAAAAAAGACAAAAAAAAAAACAAGATTTAAAACAATAGCACAGCACCTTTGGTGAGCTGTGAGACTTATATTACAAAATGAGAAGTTGGTTATTTTTATTTTTGAAAAAATATTTTAGATAACTCATTTTTATGCAAAACACTTATTGAACTTTGACTTCAATTTTGGTCATAGTGTTCCTTGGCATTTACAGTGATATGTATAGAATAATAGTATTTTTAAATGTGGAAATAATGTTTCTTTCAGTTTAGTTAGGGGAAAACATTCAAAATAAGGGTTTGTGAGTTATTTAATGGACAAAATAAGCAGTTGAGGAAGAAACTGTTGATTTATCACCTAGCTTACTGATATAATAGTTTTCATGTCTACCCTGTTTTATTGAAATTGCTAAGAAAAATATTTCTGTTCCACCTGACACCTTTTTGGCTTTTCTTTTGCTTATCTGACATGTAAAAATACTGTGTAATGTGGCTATCTAGTACTGTGTAATGTGGCTATCTACTGTGTAATGTGGCTATTTTTACATGCTTATCTGACATGTAAAAATACTGTGTAATGGCTTTAACGATTTAAAACTCACTTTTTATATAATTACCAAGTAACTGCTAGTTCCAGGGCTGTTTTGTTTTTTGTTATTTTCTCCTTTTCTTTTTTTAAAGAAATTTTCTATTTTCTGTTCAAAATGCAGAGATAGAATTTTATTTGCAGTTATGCCTAAGAGAAATGGACAATGTGATTGGAGATATAAACTTCAAATAAAAGATTCCACTGTGAAAACATTTTATGTTTTTTAGGAGGATGCTAAGCTTTTCTTGGGTATACAATGAAATAGGTAATTGCAGATTTTAAATACTCATGTGTAGAAATGGAGAGAAAAAAAAAGAAGAGACAGAGACACATTATTGTAGTGATTAAAAAACTAGTTCCTTGAGCGTCTAGTTTTCTGATTTTTGGATTCCATCATCTAAACTTGTAGATAAGTATAATACACCTGAAGAGTAATAGACATTCTACCTTCAATATCCAAAAAGGCTGTTTTTCAGACATTAAGGTCTGGTTCCTACTCTTATACTTTTTAATTTTATTTTTTGAGTCGAAGTCTCACTCTGATGCCCAGGCTGGAGTGGAGTGGCATACTCACGGCCACCCGCTCATTGACCTGCTAGGCTCCGGCGATCCTCTGCCTCAGCCTTCCAGGTAGCCAGAACTTACAGGCATGCGCTACCACGCCCAGCTAATTTTTTGATATATTGTAGAGAAGAGGTCGCACCAAGTTGCCCAAGCTGGTCTCGCACCCCTGGACTCAGGCAATTCGCTCGCCTCTGCCTCTCAAGGTGCTGGGATTACAGGTTTGAGCCACCACACCCTGCCTACTTTAAAAAAAAAATGTATGTAGAAGTGAAACTGAGCCATGAATTCATCTAAGTGTAAACCTGACCAAAGTGATGAAATGAAATGGCATCCTAAAGTGCATAGGTACAAAATGCAGGTTTAGAGAAGTGGCTCCTTTTCATCTTAGGGGAGATCATATCCTTGGATTGTTGATACAATCGTTTATTTCAGATGAATACATTTGCAATTTCAGTGACTTTGTTTTTCTTATTTGGAATAATAATTAAACCCTTATAAACTTAGATTTAATTGCTTTTTATATAAAAAGTGTTCAATAAATAGTTCTTTTAAACATACCACATTATTTTATGAGAAACTCTGGACTTTGTTTAAAAATAAAAATATAAATTGATTTTTAAAATCAGTGAGGGTGGGCAACCCTCTTAGGACCCTTCACCCGTGGGAGTTTTTCTGTCTTCTCATTTTCTCAATATATCCTGCTTCACAAATAAATAAATAAAACCAGTGATGGCTTTACTTTTTGTTATTTAGTGAGAATATATTAAAATATATTTAAGCTAATTTCTATAAAGGATTAATGTATGAAATACAGAAGTCAGAGATTGACTAAAAGTTAAACGTGGAAAAAATTCATTTGTAATTTGTTTGACTCCTTTAATCATATGTGAAACCCTTTCATATACTCTTTGCCTAATTAGGTCTGCAAAGTTATCCATTAATAATATTTAATATAATTAAATTACAAATAGCGAATTTAACTTGATTGCTGCAGCAAAAATGAAATTAAGATTATTTTCATATTAAAACTATATAGACATTATGTTCAGTATGAGATATATTATGTATTTAAAGTACATACATATTACCTTTTATTACTAATTACTTTTCATATATATATAGTATAATGTGCATTATAATAAAAATAAATGATTTTTAAAACATTCTTTTTTAATACGGTATATAGTCTAGTGTCAATAAATATAATCTTGTTGATGCTATAGGAAGTGAAGACATGTTTACTGGTGTCTACTTTCTAGCTGAAATGAAGCAGAGCTTAAAATTTCTAAATTGAGTGTATTTTAAGTGAAAGATTATCTGTTATTGGTAGAGTGCCATATAACTTATTCAGCTTTCATCTCTTTGCAGAGCTCCTTAATAAGCATTCATAGTCAGTTTTTGGCAGCATTAGAATCACTGAAGACATTCTGGGATGTTATGGATGAAATCGATGAGAAGACCTGGGTACTTGAGCCAGAAAATCCTCCACGGAGTGCAACAGCACGCAGAATTGCATTAGGTAGGGAAAAAGGATTAGGGGTTTGATTTTAGGTGTTTGATTTTATTTTGTATTACTTATGGAAATGAATCTAACAATGATGGTTGAACTCTTAGACTTCTCTGTATGAAGTCAACTAATAAAACTTTCTGGGATGAACTGTAATTTTTTTTATGACTACACATTTAAATGTAAATATTTTAGGTGAAAAGGGCAAGTAAGTACTGAGGTGTTTCATTATAAAAGGTGATGATTCAGTGGAAATCACATTCAGAGGTAGTGTTTAATTAGCTGTTAATTAACACAGAAATAGTGGAGCAGGTAAAACTTATGTTACTTAGAAGAAAAAAACCCTGTAATTCGAAATAATGAAGTCTTCATCTGTGAAATTTAGACAAGATTGGTGTGAACAGATCTGGGAATATTTTCTGGAAAAAACATAGAGGAAGATTAAATAATTTAAAATGGACCATACCATTGAAGAGTAAACAAAAACCACAAAATAAGAATTTAAAATAAAGTATTTTCTTTATGATAAATATATTAATTAGATGTGGTATAACCATAAATATCCTTACAATGTTATCATATTTTCATTACTATGAAATAAATTAAGTATTTTAAAAACAAAGTTTTAGAGTTCAACCTTTTTCAAGATTTAGGAATTTTAAACTATATTTGAGCTCACATTAAATACCATAGCTAGTTTTAAGGTACCAGTTTATCTCTTTTCTTTTTTTTCTAGAATAAATAGGTATGCTGTTGAAAGGCATATAGTCTGGAGGATATTTTGAAACTCTGATATGAATCATACCCAGACTAGTGAGCAGTTTTTATACTTTATACCTTGGTATGATACAGATTATCTGGAGACAAAGTGACATGTTATTATGAGAAGAAGAAAGTATAATTTCACAGCAATTCTACAAATAGTGTTGTTACTTTCCTGGTTTGAAATGTCTCACAGTATTTAACGTGGAATAATTAACCAAATAATGATACATTTATGAACAAGTGGATATTAAGAATGTAAATATTTTCTCCTAAGTAACGTAGTAATTTATTATCTCCATAGCCCCACTGAAATAATTATTCTTATCAGGTTATGATTACTTCTTACTATTTTTTTCATTGTTCAACATAAACAGCTTGGTTTTTATTCCCTCTCCATTTACCTTTAGCTCCTTTTTTCCCCCCATTCAAGCACTGATTTGCTTTCTTAAGATTGAGTTTTGAACAAATTAATTGAAAGATTAGTTAATATAGCCATCTTAAGAGAAAGTACTTTCTAGAGCTTTGATGACATTGCTAAAGGCTAACAGGCAATTTGTGTTCATAGTAAAGAATGCATTAATATATAAGGTTATAAAGTTTTGTATTTTTATTTTCCTCATTGAACGGCTGTAGTGATATTTTACTTCAATTACTTCTTTTTGCCAGATTTATAATAAAAGTATGTCGTTGCTACCCTTGGCGAAAGGTTTATTTTTATAATGTATAGAATTTATCAAGACATTTGTACTATAAAATGAAATCCAAATTGACCTTAAACAATTAAACTATGTACTTTCAAAAACAGAAGTAAAGTTTCTGAAATTTGTACTATACTCCTGTATACAATGTGTAAAAGAATTTAATGCCAAGTAAAAATAGCTTTTTTTAAGATCCTGCAAAACTAGTTGTTTTTGTTATTAAATGAACAATTTTCAAGTAAATATAAACTGAATCCTTTGTTAAATTACAAGAATTAAGAAAAAGTTTTTATAGATTTTCATAAAGCTTGAATCTTAAACATGTTAAATTTTACCATTTACTGTATTTCTGGTATTTTTACATTTGATCATCATTCTATGAAATATAAACTTTTCAAGAAAGCCATGAAAAGTAATTTAGATCGCTTCTTAAATGTGTGTCTTGTGATACCTTTATCACTCCATAAAAAATTTGTATTTAAATTTTACTATAATAGAATTGGACAGAATTCCAATCTAAATTAATTATATTAATTTGTAGATTGGCTCTTATTTTTAAAACTTAGAGCTCCTGAATCTTTAATAATAATCATAATTTCAAAATTTCTACTTTTGATTAAATTATAGTGATATAGTGACTTCTATAAAAACCTATTTATAAAACATTTGATTAATCTCTCCTTGGGTATACAGTGAACTTCATAGCCAGGCTCTTTTTTATTGGCTTGTTTGATAAACTCTTCTACTTCCAAAAACTTTAGTCTTCTTTCATTCTAGGGATTAATGTTTCCATAAATATAGAGGTAGACCCCAGGCATCCTACTATGCTTCCTGAGTGCTGCTTTCTTGGAGCTGATCATGGTATGATTTTTTTTTTTTAACAGAGTCATAGAATCCTTGTTTACTACTGTTAAAAGATTATTTGAAAATGTTATTTTGGTAATTATTTGAAATAAAAATGTCTCATTCTGAACTGTATTCTTCTGAGTTTTTAAAACATAATTTAGATTTTCTAATCAAGTAGTTAAGAAAAAAATTTTGTACCAAATGCGGTTTTACAAAATAGCAGTAACAAACCCTAAATTATTAAACTTTTTCTTTTTAATCTGAAGTGATAAAACCGCTGGGAATTAAGCTGAGCCGAAACATACATTTGTGGTAGGTACTTTGGTAATATAATTGTTAACTTTTCTATGATTTTACAAAGTCAATAGCAGAATTTTTTTATTTCTCATGCTTTCAGGGATTCAGAAAATAGTCTGTTACAAAATTTGAAAGATGTTTTAGAAATTGATTTTCCTCCTCGTGCTATCCTGGAAAAATCTGTAAGTTGTATCAGTGCTTTTATATTCCAAACAGCACTGTTTGGAATATAATCAAATTTAAATGCTTTTTCTCAGAGAAAAATGAGGCTGAAAAAGGAGGATATTGAAAGAATGTTACAACACAGACTTATGAACCTACAAGTAGCAGTAGTCACTAGGTACATGCATGGTATTGGTTCCAGGACCACCCAAGGATACTAAAATCTGTACATGCTTAAGCTCCACAGTCACCTTGTGGAACACACGTGAGAAAAACTGGCACTTCATATCAGCGGGTTCCACATACATGCAGATTCCACATTCTCTACGCAGTTCTTCAAACCTAAGTTCAGAGGTCAACTGTATACTTTTTTCATGGTTTTCAGCAGTGTAGTCATTAATGACAGACATTTATTATTAAAAAAAGGGGAAAGGTCCAAAGTAGCTAATGAGATGTTTAGATCTTTTATACTACTGCTATGGATGGCTGAGATAACATTCTGATTAACTTGACAGAAGTGTTTGCAAAGGATGCAGTACTGTTTTTCAAAATTGGATACCACTTAGAAAAAAAGTAGTACTTAGAACTGCAGAAATACTTAGAACAGATTTTTGACAAAAGCTGCTAAGGTTGGAGATGACTAAGTAGTGATATTTTTCTTTTAGTTACAAAATTTTCCAGTTTAGTAATTACTAGCTAATGTCAATTCCTACCTTTACATACTACTGGGACATTATATTGATATATGATATTAGAAAATTGCTAAAGCACAAATATCTTGCCAAACAAAAATGGAATCTGTTTTTTAGTATATATGTGTATATTTGTTTAATCAGAAAGGAAACACTCTTAAAATAGCTCTGCTAGGTATATTAATAATGATGTGATTGTATTTCCTAAAATATTACAATTGTTACCTTTATTAAAACTATAGTTATAAAAATTTAGTTCTGTCTATATCATATTACTTACCCTTCTAATCTGACTTTATGTATATTTTAAAAGTATTCAAAGAGTTGTAATTTTACCAACACAAAGAAAAGGTAAATATTTGAGGTGATGGATATTGTAGTTACCTTGAACATTACACATTGTATATTTATATAAAAATATTATATGATATGTCCTCCCAAAATATGTACAACTGTAATATATCAACAATAAATCAAGTAAAGCACATACACTTATAAATATTTATTTTCTTTCAAAGGATTTTGCTGTGGATTGTGGAATTTGCTATGCTTATCAACTTGATGGTGCCATTCCTGATCAAGTGTGTAATAATTCCCAGTGTGGACAACCTTTCCATCAAGTATGCTTATATGAGGTAAAATAGTTTTCAGAGTCTTCCTTGATATCACCTCTTTACTTTTGTGATTAGAGATGAAAGTTAGTGCTATCTGTACTTTACCAATGGAGAACTTAGGGAGATACACCAATTTACCTTACATAAAATAATAAAATACCAGGTCTAATTACAGAAATACTCTAAGGGAACATGTGCTTTCTTTTATAATAATAAATATTCATTTACTTTTTAAAACTTGACTGGTTCATGTTTGTAATCAGTGGACTGAGAATTTAACCCACTGTTAGTGATTAGGACCAGAACTAAGACCTAAACTTTCAAGAGACTATGGTATCCTTAACAGCAGTTGTTGTTAGTTTGTGATTAATGTCTGTTTGTGAATGTCTGTTTGGGGGTACAGAAAATACATAATTGTCATCAGATTGTTAAAGGGGCCTACAATTTGGTATAAATCAGTGGGTTAGACTTTGAATTTCATTTTGATATTTTCCCTTGTTGTTTATCATATTAATAATGTGATATTGGCTAAGGAAAGTTACCCTTACTCTTTCAAAACAAACTTAAGGTAACTCTTCTGGAATAAAAATATAATACACTTTAAAAGAAACAAAATGATATTTGGAGTATCTGTAATTTGAAATCATGCTGACACTGCTCCTTCTTTTAAAAATCTACAGTGGTTGAGAGGACTACTGACTAGTCGACAAAGTTTTAACATCATCTATGGTGAATGTCCATATTGCAGTAAGGTAAGCAAACTGTTAATCACATTTTATATAATATACCTAGCAATTAGTAATGTGCTTTAGAAGATATATATATAGAATATCAGCTCATCCAAAATCTTGGAAACACTATTAAGAAAATAAAAACAGTAAGACACTTTCTGTAAAATAAATCATCTTTAACTTTAATTTTTAAGTTATCTCTTTGATCAAAAGATTAAACTCCTTTCTAGATTTCCTAGGTGATCTGAAACTTCGGAAACGTATTTTCCGAACTGTACCATGACACTATTTCTGGTATAAAGCAACTTTATTTTTAGAGTGTCTATGAACTTGCTTTGTTAAAATATATTATCTTTTTTAAGCCAATTACCTTGAAAATGTCTGGGAGGAAACCCTGAAATAAGAATGTAACGTTTCTGTGAAGAACTGGAAACCTTAAAAATTATCAAAAGGATTTTATTTGATATCTTCAGAGAAAATATAATGCAAGACATACTAACGTCAAAAGGACAATTATTATGAAGCCATAAGAATATATATCTGCCTCTGTTTCTTCACTAAGGGTAAACTGAGAAATTGCAGGCCAAAGTCCTGTAGAACTTTGTAAATCTGTGGTCCCCATATTAACTGTGGAAGTGTATTTATACCACGATGGAGATCTTGACTTGTTGAATATATCTGAACTGGTGAAATCTTGATGGGGTTCATAAAATGAATCTGGGAATTGTGTATAGTTGGATTTTTGGGGGAAACTATTTGCTTCCTTCAGAAGTTCTTGAAACTCTTGATATTTGTGCCTTCTCCTTGTGCTTTCCTATGGAAAAAAATACATAATTTGTTAGATTTGAGTTATCGAAGTATTTATTTTGTATACTCCATAAGAATGCTAAATAAAATTTGCTATGCAACTAGATAAAGTTTGTGTGTACTTTTTATTTTTCCTCAAAAGTAATTTTTAGGTAAAGATCCTGGATTTTAGAGTTTATAGACCAACTACTATAGAGTGAATAGATATCAATATGAAACAAATTAGTTGGTTACTTATATGCAAGTTTCACGAGTTGCGTCTGTGTTTTCACCATCATTCCTGTTAGCCAGAGTCCCTGGAATCAGTTTCCTGCTCATCACTTAGGTCAAGAGTTCTGCTTCTGCATCCTTTTGTGACATCTGGCATGCCATCTCTGTGTACCATTTATTTAAGTAACTTAGAAGTGGAAAGTTTTATAAAACAAAACAAAAATACTTTAATCATGTTCATTGTTAGTTTCATCCAAAAATATGTGATGTAATGCCACTATCCTTGAAAATAGCTACTACCCCTCAACCCCTAAAAGGGTACCTTTCAAACAGTCTCCTTACTGACAAAAATAGTCACTTTCTGGATGGAGAGTTTTAGAAGGGTCAGAAAGGATTCTTACATATGATACTTAACAACTATTAAAAAGAAATTACTTGAGAGTGAGAAAACGAACTTTAAACTATTCTTTCTGAGCTAACAAATTCACATTAATGCAATTTTCTGTTATCAAGAAAACTTGCATTATTTATTAACTTTGCATGCACATTATAATCAACTTGGAAGCTCTGAAAAATGTCAACACTACTTCTACTTGTTGGTCATGAATCCCCTCCTGCTATAGAAGCCCAAACCAATAAAATTAGACAAAATATATAAAATAACTTATCAGACATCTAAAACAAACACAGCTATGATACTTAAGGAAAACAACCCAGACCTCAGGCCACAACTTAACATAGTATTTACTGTAGACTAGACCAAAAAAGCCTAACGAAGTTACAAAATAACCAGATTGAACCACTAATAAATTAACTGCCAGAACAAAACTCTTTAAAGGAATACAGTAAGGTCTGGAACCTAAACACCACAGCATTGTGTTCAGCATACAATAAAGCTACATAAGATGCAGGGAGTGTGACCCATAACCAGGAGAAAAAAATAACAAAAACAGACTCAGAAATGACTCAGAGAACAGAATTATCAAAAACAAGGACTCTAAAACATCTATATAAATACGTTCAAGGAATTAAAGGAAAGGTGAACAAAATTAGTGAACAGATGGTGAAATCTCAGAAGAGAAATGAGAGATATGATGCACTTCTGAAACTAAAAAACATGGAATAAATAACTCACTAGCTAGGTTAATAGCTGATTTGACAATCAGAGGTTAAGAAAAGAAAATATCCAAAATGAAATACAGTAAGATAAAAGACTAAAAAATGAGCAGTGCCTCAGTTGCCTATGAAAAATGTATTCTAGCATGCATGTAAGATCTCAGAGAAGTAAGAGGGATTAAGGCATGAAACAAACTGATGAAATCATAATAGAAACTTTTCCAATTTGATGACAAAATCAATACAGAGATAAAATAAGCTCAGTGAACCTAAAGCACAAAAAACAAATACAACTATCATTAGAAAACCCAAGATATAAAGTAGCCAGAAAGATACATTATATATAGAGTCAATGATAGGAAATAACTGATAACTTCTTATCAGAAAAAAAGCACACCCAAGAAGACAGGGAAACATCTTTAAAGTTCTGAAAGGAAAATTTCACACTCAGTGAAGCCTTCAGAATGAAAATAAGGGACATCCAGTTTCAGACCAGAAAGTGCATTCAACTCTATTCTGCTAATTAAAATGAAAGAACAAAAAGCAACTATCAGAATACTCTGAAAGTTGTAGAAAAGAAGGCAACTGACTAGGAGCCCCAGGACACAAGGAATAACCTATCCATGAATCCCAGCATGCACTTTCACTTTGGTGCCTCCTATGAATCCTAGCCTGGGCCCATAAAACAGCCTACAATCTGGAATTAGCAATAGTCATAGATAGAATTTTTTTTAAAAGCCAAGAACTCTATCTAACCAATAGCCCTGGGTGAGGGTAGGTGTACTGACAAACCTTTTGACTGTGCCTGCTTTACTGTAGGTGAACACCATGAAAGAGGCTGCACCTTTCTAATTTCTCTCTAGGTGCTGTGGAAACTGTGGGGTAGGGTCCTGTGAACTGTCACCACCCTGCACCAGGGAACACACTTACCCCTCCCCATTAAGCACTGCATAAACGGGCAAACCCCTGCAGACCATCCCCACACTAACAAGGCAGTACCCTCTATCTCACCAGGTATTAGGATAACTGTGAGTTGGAGCCCTGTCAATCGTTCTCAACCTGCACTGGTGAGAGGGAACCTCTCCCTCCCCACCACGTGCTGTGGAGACTACAGGGCAGAGCCTTATAGACTGCCACTCCCTATACTAACACAGGCAGAAGCAGTGCCTTTCTTCTTTTATACCAGACACTGTAGAGACTACAGTAGAGTCCTACCAATTAACCTTACCCTATATTGAACAAACATAAGCAGAGAGACAGCAATCCTACAAATGCCACTGGCCTCAAAGACTAGAGAAAACTTGCTGTTTTGACCATCCCTATAATGTATTAAATAAACAAACAGCAAAGAGGTGGCAACCCCACATCTTCCTAACTGGAAAACCCTGGTCTCACTAATTGAAACTACTAGAAAGAAAATGAGTAAGGATACAGAAGAAATTAATAACAACACAAACCAAGGGGATCTGATATTAATAGAGCACTCTACCCCAAAAGAGGAAGATACATGTTCTTTTCAATTGCAACAGAAACATTCACCAAATAGACCACATCCTGGCTCATAAAATAAACCCTACCAAATTTATGTTCTCAGACCATAATATAATTAAACTTGGAATCAATAATAGACAGATAAATCTTCAAATACTTGGAAATTAACAATGCCTTAAAAAAATTAAAGTTTTAAAAGAAGTCTCAAAAGGAAGTACAAAATATTTTGAACTGAACAAAAAGCAAACCAAGAAAAAAAAGAGGAAAATGAACTAAAATCAGGCTGAAGAAACGAAGTAATAGGAAAATCTGTAAACATTTTAAATGTAAAGAAACACTTCTGAATGGGTTAAAGAGACCCCAAGGAAATTAAAAACAAAACAAAAAAACACAACTGGATGAAAATGGAAATACAATGTAGCAAAATATTTGGGACATAGCTAATGCCATACTAGAAGTGAAATTTATAATACTAAATGCTTCTATTAGGAAAAAAGTCTCAATTTAATAATCTAAGTTTCCACCTTAAGAAAGTAGGAAAAAAAGGCAAGTATGTGACACGATGGATTTGTTAATTAGTGTGATTTAATCATCCCATAATGTAAACACGAATCAAAACATCACACTGTACTCCATAATATAAAATATGAGGTATTTGTCAGTTAAAATACAAAATATTTTTCTAAGTGAAAAGAATCTAGAAAAAGAGAAACTCAAAGCAAGCAGAAAGAATCAGAGAACACAAATGAAACTGGCAATAAAAAAAGAAGAGTCAACCAAACAAAAGCTGTTTCTGTGATGACCTATAAGACTGGTAAACTGTCAATTCTGACAGAGAGAGACATAAAACACAAACTGCTAACATCTGGGAAAAAACAGATATCACTACAGACCCCACAGACATCTAATGTATTTAAATAAAGGAATACTGTGAACAATTCTACCAACAAAAATTTGACAGCTAAGATGAAATAGACCAATTCCTAAAAAATCACAAATTACCAAAACTAACTCAAGATGAAACTGATCAGGTGATAAACCATTTTTAAATGGTTAGAAAAAATATTCTGTGACATTTGAAAATTATATGAAATTCAAATTTCAGTGCCAAAAATAAGTTTTGTTGGAACTTGGCTGCACTTACTTGTTTACATTGGTGTATAGACACTTTTGTGCTATAATGGAAGAGTTAAATAGTTCTGACTCTGTATGACCTGCCAAATTTATTTTTTGTGTTTGGGTGTCTCACTCATCCAGGCCGTAGCACAGTACCACAATCAAGGCTCACTTCAGCCTCAAACACCTGTGCTCAAGTGATCCTGTCACCTCAACTCCTCGAGTAGCTGGGAACTACAGGCATGCACCACCACATCCAGTTATATTTTTAAAAATTTTTGTAGAGACAAAGGCTTACTACGTTACCTTGGCTGGTCTTAAACTCCTGGGCTCACACAATCCTCCTGCTTCAACCTCCTAAAATGCTGGGATTACAAGTGTGAGCCACTGCACCTGGCAAAAGCTAATTTTTTTTTTTACTGTCTGGCTCCTTACAGAAAAGTTTGCCTACACTTGATAAAATCTGAATAGTTTTACTAAAGAAGTTGAATTCATAGCTAAAAAACAAATCTCCAGGCCTAGATGGTTTCACTGGAAAATTCTACAAAACATTTTAAAAAGAAACAATATCAATTCTACACATTTTCTTCCAGAAATTAGGAGGAGGAAGGCTTCGCAACTCATTTTATGAGATCACTATTACCCTGTTACCAAAACCAACAAAGACAGCAGAATAAAAAGAAAATACAGACAACAGCCTTCATGAACACAGATGCAAAAATTCTCATTAAAATAGTAGTAAATTATATTCAGAAACATATAAAAAGAATAATGCACCACAACCAAGTGTGGTTGATTCAATGAAAGCAAAATTAGTGCAATATTCAAACACAAATCAGTATCACTCACCATAGTAACAGTCTAAAGAAGAAAAACCACATAATCGTATGAACTGATACAAAAGAAGCATTTGACAATATTCATATCCATTAGTGACAAAAAAAAATTCCAGTACATTAGACACAGAGGGGAGTTTCCTCAACTTGATAAAGAACATCTACAAAAAAGTCTATAGTTGAATGGTGAAATATTCAATGGTGAAAGGCCAAAAACTTGGAATAACCCACATGTTCTACAAAGATATAGCCATACTTCAGAACACTAATTAACTTTATTTATAGCTAAGTAAAAATTTATAGCTTTAAATATATGTTAGGAAAAAAATACTTAAAA